TTGTAAAGCTACTTTTTCTGCATTTTGAGCTTGTTGTTTTAAGTGCTAGTGCTGCATCGTCTATTCACGTTTCAACATTAATTCATTCTGCAGACATTTCCAGTGTAACTAGTATGTAGGGTTACTGGATGTACAGAGAGAAGACAGGCCTTCAAGGAACTCCAAGTCTTATGTGAGTGTAGTGAAGGGCTAGAGTTATGGACAAAACACGAAAGCACGCAATTACAATAACAGGTTTACTTTTTTCAGGATAGAGGTAGCCTTGTATCATTATCTCATGTGAATAATTTGGGAGATAGAAAAGATGGCATTAACGTTGGCAGTCAGAATCAGTTCCAGATATGTAGAAAGCTGGCAAACAATTGAAATCTCCTTGACTTGGATTGTCCTAATTTTCTCTGTGTAATTTTTTTTCTTTATTGAAAAAGGAAATTGAGACTTGAGTATTAACCCATTAACTATTATGTAGAAATTTTGTATTAGAAAGGGTGGTGACTTGAAATTTTACGTGTCCATTTATGTTTGAAAAGTTTGCAATTTTTGCTTCTTTCGATTTAGTCATTTAACGTCATCTTTTGTTTCTTTCTCTTCGGCAGACATTAATTACAAATCTTCTATATAATAGGCATATTAGTTACTAGGGTTATAAAAAACTCCCTTAAATTTTTCCTCCTGATATGGGAGGCAAGTAACAGCTGCTCATAGCATATGCAGTACATTTTCTGATAGAGGTGAGAACCAAGTGCTGTAAGAAAATATAAGACGGACATCTAACTCAGAGTTGGGGCTTAGAGTCTTCTCACAGAAGTTGATGTTAAGCTCAAGACAGGGAAAAATGCAGAGGGGAATACAGAATAGTCTTTTCTACTCTCTTAACCACAAAGTTCTACACAGTCATGGGTTTGGTTTATTTTAAGAGATGTTACTTTTTCTGTTTTCCAATGCTATGCCGTACTTTATTTTAACTGCTAATAATAAGTGAAGCAGATTATTTTATTCAAAATACAAACGTAGTAATTTTATTTTAGGAGTAATTTTTCAGTTGCCAAGTCCTAAAGAAAGTATTGGTAGAATGTATGCATTCCTATACTGCACTTATACTTCTTCTGTTTATATTTGTATATGTTTTTTACATTTGAAGAAAATTTAGAAATATATGCACACATATATATTACATGATATATTGTATATACATATATATGTATTTTTTTCCTGCTGTAGAATTACTCTTTGGATCAGGAGTTCATACCCTACATATTCCAGGGTCAGATGATGATATCTTCTCTAGATCTTACATTTTAGATCTTTGCAGTTCCACTCTCACAGAAAAACACTGCTTCTTTGGGTATTCATGTTATCTAGGTACCCCACCTTACCGTGTGCCTCATTTGCAAAACACTAGGACATTCCTCTTTATTTAATGGAAGTCTTGCTCTGGATTTAGTCTTCCTTTCCACCTCAACTGCTGTCTGGGTTACTTCTGTGAATGATTCATCTACAGCCTTGGCCTTGAATTTTATTGATCTTCTCATCTGTAGGGTTGCCTCTTCTCCACTCTAACACTCAGTCTTATAGCCCACATTTGGTTACTTATCAACTGAAACCGATTTATTTCTGAAGTTATCAATTCACTTTGATCCACTAAACATACTAATTCCTATATTACCATGGTCCTTGATCATCTGCTTCCAACTTTAACAAAATTTCCGATCCATATAATTTATTTCTTTCCTAAATTTATTTTCCTCCCTCTTCATTATGTTACTTCTTAAACCTTTCTCTTGCCAATGTACTCTGATTCCTCCCCCAACTTTCTTTCTCCAGTTATCCACCTTTCTTCTCACTCTCAGCAGATGACATGGTATTTCATTTCACAGAGAAAAAGGAAATCCTCAGATGAGAGCTCCCGGTTTCCTGCCACCAAACCTACTTATATCTGCACTCATACTGTTTATAATGGTAAGAGTCTTGCCCTCAAGGAATGGAAAAATCTGCCTTTGAACCAGGTGGATGATATAAATATGTGAAGCATTAGGGTAAGGAGGAGGCCGTGGCCTGTGGCAAATTGATAAGAGCCATCTAAAAATTTCAAGTTGTTGATACTCTGTATTAGCTGGAACAAAGCCTGCCATGATGATCTGGCTTCTGATCTAAGTTTAATCTCCATATCTAAGCTCTGGATCCCCCCTGTAGCTTTCTTAGGGGCTTTACCCTCCTGAGAATGCCTTCTTTTCTCCAACATGAATCTCTCTGTTGCTATTAGTTCTTTGCCATCAATATTTGAGTATTTTTAAGCTTGTTTCATCTTTTAAAAACTTCATTAAGGCTAGACACCGTATTTCATGCCTATAATCCTAGTGCTTTAGGAGGCCAAGGCAGGAGTATCACTTGATGACAGGAGTTTGAGACCAGCTGAGCAACATAGCAAGACCTCATCTCTATAAGAAATTTTTTAATTAGCCAGGCATGGTGGCATGTGCCTGTAATCACAGCTACTCAGGAGGCCGAGATGGCAGGATCACTTGAGCCCAGGAGTTCGAGGTTACAGTGAGCTACTATTGTGCCACTGCATTCCAGCCTGGGCAACGCAGCAAAACTCTGTCTCTCTTAAAAAAAAAAAAAAAAAGAAAGAAAGAAAGAAAGAAACCTTCATTAGCCCTGTTTGCTTCTCTAGTTACTGCACTTTCTCCACTTACACTGTGAAATTATAAAAAGAGAGAGTTGCCTACAGTTTTGGTATTTGATAAACTTAGATTGGACTCTTCATTCTACTGCTTATGAGCTCTGAGACTTTTCTCTCCAAGCTTCAGTTTTCTCATCTGTGAAAATGAGGATAATATTTATACTAAGTCATAAAGTTAAGTATCAAGAGAAAATAGCCCCAGACGACTTCCTGAGTGTTCAGATACATTTGCTTTTAGTCTGTGGCACTCTACCTTGTATCCCTACCCCTAAATACTTTTAAGACTTTTTGTTGTTCATTGTTTCTCAGTAGAATTTCTCAATACTACTCAGTATTTCTCTGTACTATCAACTGCCTCAAAGCACTTTCTTCTACTGTTGGTCCTGACACACAACTCTGGCTTATTCTTTGCTTCTATGAATGTTCCCTTGGGTTCCTTGGGCTATTTTGTCTTTTACCTATCCTTTAAATGTTCATATTCCTCATGCTTATATTCCTCCAGATTCTGTCATTGTCTTTGTGCAATTATTAAAGTTGAACTATTAATTTGGTAATGACATCTCTGGAAGCCAAAGCAAAGAGGAAGCATTATAACAATGTTAGTTTATAGTTAATGAGCATTTACTACCTTTTAGGCGTTTTTATAAGTACTTTACATGTATTATATTTGATATAATCTTCACCAAGACTCTATGAGACAGGACACTGAAGTACAGAAAGATAAACTAAATTGCCCACAGTCTTGTAAGAATTCAATTCTAGGCAGTTGAATTCTGGAGCTTGCTTTCCTAACCATAGCAGTATAATCTCTTCCAAACAGTTACATGATTAGTAGTGTTTAGAAGGGTACAGCATTCTTCAGGGGAACTAAAGGTTCTTGGAGGACTTAGGTCTGAAATGATGTTTGTGATGACCCTTTGGGAGGTGATAGAGTATCTTCAACGATAATCCTATGGTAAATACCGTAGTAATACTCCATTCTCATGGAGAACTTCAGTGTAGAAGAAAAACATAATACTCTGCCAAAGTACAGCACAGTGAATATGGTTTTTCCATATTACATCTCTCAAACAGCTCTTTTATAGAAGTTTGGGAGCTAACATTTCAAATTTGTGTTTAATAGTTTAAGGAGGACAAAAACTGTCTTACTTATCTTTGTATCTACAGTGCCTAGGCCAGGACCAGTAACACATAAATAATTTAGCAGTATGTGTGGCATGAATGTGACCACACTTCCCTGGTCAGCTACTTAAGAAGAAATGACTTAAGATAGGATATATTTAACATGCTAGGTTCTTGGGGTGGAGTTGATGGTTGGTTGCAAGATCTGATAAGTTCAAAGGGGGAAAATGAGTAGGAATTCAGTCCCTTTCCCTCCCATATTTGCCTTAAACATTTATTTTTTAATTAGCTTCAAAAGCATTTAATTCTTTCTTACTATATATCAGATACTGTGTAAAGTGGTGCAGATCCAGTGGTGAGTAAGACAGAGTCCCTGCCCTTAAGATGTTTGCATTCTGGTGAGATACACAGAAAACTACTTTGATCGTACAGTGAGATCGGTGCTTTGAAGGAGGCAAGTATTTAGATTATATGCAGGTCTTCAGGCAGTGGGAACAGGTTAGAGAAAGCATGGTGCATTCAGAGAACTTCAGATCTCCATTAGGGTTAGAGGGTGAAATGTGAATATGAAGAATAGTGAGAAATGAGGCTTGTAGTAATGGGGAAGGACCTTGTGACCAACTTTAAGGTTTTTTACTTCCATTGCTCTCTCCCCATATCAGCATTCCCTTTCTTATGTGCTAATCATATGGTGCGAGTACATGGGAGATCAATGTAGAGATGTGTTCCGTGGGCCACAAAATTCCTTTTTTGATGCATACTACAATTGAAACTGCATAGTTAATCTCTTTGGTAACAATTTTTTCATTGTAGATACTGATATTCATGTGACTTTTCATTTTTAAATTGTGAATTCCTCAAAAACAGGGACTGTATTTTATTCATTTCTGTATCTTTAGCATCTAATAGTAACTAAGTAAATGAAAAATGTCATTTTATGTATTAGTCTAGAAACCTAAAGATAGTTGTCATAGTTCTTCTTTGGAAAACAGAGTTCAAGCTTTAAATAATTGAGCTTACAAACCACTCTGAATTTAAGATTACCTGTCTTGGAGTAGGGAAAAATTACTAAATAGAAAAATTGAGGGTTTTTATTGTTTAACTACAAGGACATTCATAGCTTAGCAGAAGAATTCAGTACAGAATTTGGTCAACTATGTTTAGTTTGAAATTTTTATTCTTCCTTTGAATATAGACATATGAAGAAGATCGAAGAAACTACTCTGAACTTCAAATTAGATGTCAACGTTTGGCGTTAGAATTAGCAGACACAAAACAATTAATTCAGCAAGGTGATTACCATCAAGAGAACTATGGTAAAGTCAAGAGGTAAGTAGTTAAGATGACTATAGTATAATAGTTGTTCTCATTTTTAGCATATGTCAAAGTCAGCTGAATTTTTACCATCAATCATTAATTTTACTTTTACCTTATTTTTCATTGCACAAAAGCACGTAGTTTGGCAGTTTGTTGGGTTTATATTGGTTTTTACATCAGCTGTTTTTATTTTATTTAGAAGTGGCTACTGTCTTTTAAAATGTAAACAAAGGTAGGAAGCTGGTAAAATCCCACATGTGTAAATAATTTCTAAATGTTATTTGATGATTATTTTTATGTAATGGAATCAATTTAAATATTTTGCAGTTTTGCTGGAAATATTTTTAGCTGTTCTTTTCTGACAAAAGGCACACACTTTCAAAAAGTGACACTTTTGAGAATATATGTTTCTGTGTTGCTACTAAGTAGCTATGGCAAATACCTTCCTTTAACTGGAACATACTTTACAGTAATTTAGTGAACCACTACTTAGCTGTATGTTCTTTGGTATATCTCTTTTCATTCTGAGCATAAGTTTTGTTATCTATGAGATGGTGCTAACATAAATAACTACACTATATAAACTAAGATCAAAAAAAGAAATATTTATGAAAGTCTTTAAACATATGTATACTATATATGTGCAAATGGAGTGACCTTCTTTTAATTGTTCACTGCTAAATCTACCTGCACCTGAAATAATTCTTGAAATAGAATAGTTACTCAATGAGTATTTGTTAAATGAATGAATGAGCAAATGCTTTAAATTGTATAACTTACATTATAAATTATATGATACTGTAAGTGAATTTACAAAAATTTGGGCATAGAACATTGGAACTTCTACTCTCATCGTGACCGACACAGTATGTATTACTATGTATGTTTTGTAATGTCAAAACATGATAATTATTGGAGCTTGAAACCCATGAGAGCTATCCTCAGTGGGCTTATGAATAAAGCTGGATTTTGAAAGAAGCATTTAAGAATAAGTAGATTGTGATGGTAAGATCATACTTTGAGTTGGTATTTCGATATCCTCTCTGCCACTATGAATCTATAGCAATGGTAAATGAAATATAAAAACAGAAAACTAAAAAGCAATAGTTATCAGAATAATCTAGCAGGGCCATGAATGAAGGGTAAATGAAACAAGCTTAGTCATAAGCTGATAAATATTGAAGTTGGGTGATGGGAGCATTGGTATTCATTATATCATCTCTGTTTTTATAGATGTTTTCATTTTCTATAATAAAAACCTAGGAAAGAAAAACATAGCCTTGATCAAAAAACATGATAAGCATCTTCATGTGCTGGAAATGGAACAGAAAAACAAATAAGAGGGGCTCAAACTGTGAACCTTTTGGTTCACTCAGTAAAATGAATGAGTTAAAAAAAATGGACAGGTCACAAAAAAGGTAAACTGGGGAAGAAAAAAAACACTTTTATGCCCTTGATAAATGCTCACAAATGTGCAAAAGGAAACAGATACATGTATGCTAATTGCACCATGACTAGAAAGAATTCAAATGCTTTTCAGTAGCAGAATGGAAAATAAATGGTGATTTATTTCTACAATATTCTATGTAACGATTAAAATCATTAAATCTAAATATATATATATATTTATATTTTTAGCAGTTCTTTACTTTGTGGCATAACATAATGTTCCTAGTTTTCTTTTGTAATTTCATGGCCTCAGCCCTTTCTCTAAGGAGCCTTGATTTCTTTTAGTGGGGAAAAGATTTGGGTGCTGTGGTCATTGCTTCATTGGTCATTGTTTCTAGGCCCTTTCAGTAGGCAGAGGCTGTGGAAGAGGGAGCTTAACACACTGTGGATGAGATCATACTGATAATCTCATTTCAGTTCAATACCACAGTAGCCAGTTTGAAGAGGCTCCATCTGGCTATATCATATAATAAAATTTAAATATCAAAATGCATATTGATGATAATGAATTATAATCCACTGAATAGAATAAGAATTCATGAGTGCATGCTAATAACAAATAAATAGGGAAAGAGGATCTTTATAGTAGAATGCCAATGAGTAAGTGCATGTGCATATTAGAATGACCATTTTATATATAGCCTCATAATATTTGATTCAGAATCATCAATGGAATCTAAAATCTTGAGTAAATGTATGTTAAAGAACAAGATATTTATACAGTCTCCAAGTATCTCCTTACAGATTGCTCATTAATTGTAAAGGACAAAAAGATACCTTTGCAGTTGAAAACTTTGGCAGACACCACCTTAACCAAATGATCAGAATTACTGTCACTAGTAATGGGATAAACTGACATCATTTGCGTCTTTATGTGATATACTGAGGACGCATTATCATTTCTATAGTATTTTTGCCCAAAATGTTTAACCTGAATCTAAGGAAGCATCAAAGAAATGAAAATTGAGAGACATTCTGTAATACAGTTGGCCTGTGGTCTGTAAAAAGTCATTGAAGACAAGGAAGACTAAGGAACTATTGAAGGTTAAAGAGATTAAAGACACATGACATCCAGATGCAATGCATGATAATAGCCTGGATCAGGGGGAAAAAATGCCACAAAGGACATTTTTGGGACAGTTGACAAAATTTGAAAATGGATTATACAGTAGATAATATTGTATTAGGACTAAGACTCCTGAATTTGATAATTATACTATGATTATATAAGAGAATATATTTAGTTTTAGGAAATTTATGCTGAGTTATTTAGGTGTAAAGGGACCTGATGATTGCATATAAATCTTAAAATAGTTAAGGGAAAAAATGCACATGTATTAGTATGTGTGTATATGTGTAGGTGTGTATACATGTATATATATGTAGTATATATATGTGTGCATGTGTTTACAGGACAGGTTTTAAATGTGCACAGATTTTTTTTAACCAAACTCCCATCTAAAATACAGTATTCACAGGATGTGAAACTGCTTATGCTGAAGACTGACTTACGTGTTTATATGCATGAGTTCTGCAGGGCAGTCTGCAGAACATGAGTATTTGCAGATTTTGGTACGGGAGTTAGGGGGTGTGCCTGGAGCCAATCCCCCAATGTATACTGAGGGATGACTGCATATATTCATTCACATATATTTACAAGAGAGAGGAAGTGAATAAATATGACAAAGTAATATTTGGTAAATATTACAAAGTAAATATGACAGTGTTAACAATTGATAAATAAAAGTATTAAAAAGAACCACACATGGTATGGAAACCCACTAAATTTATCATTGTATCTAGGGAGATGGTATAGGAACAGTGAGAAAAATGTAGAGGACTTCAAGTTTACCTGTAATGTTTTTATCTTTAAAAAAGGAAAATAAAACCTAATGCAAATATAGGCAACTGTTAACTGTGGTTAACTTTGGTTAGCATGGGTATTTTGCTGTATCCTGCTTTCTGATACATTTTTATATTTTAAAAAATCACAGCAAAGGGGGCAGGATCATTACTGTGAGAATAAAAATATATGCATGCAGGCCGGGCACGGTGGCTCACGCCTGTAATCCTAGCGCTCTGGGAGGCCAAGGCGAGTGGATCGTTTGAGCTCAGGAGTTCGAGACCAGCCTGAGCAAGAGCGAGACCCCGTCTCTACTAAAAGTAGAAAGAAATTATCTGGACAACTAAAAAAATATAGAGAGAAAAAAAAAAATTAGCCGGGCATGGTGGCACATGCCTGTAGTCCCAGCTACTCGGGAGGCTGAGGCAGGAGGATCGCTTGAGCCCAGGAGTTTGAGGTTGCTGTGAGCTAGGCTGACGCCACGGCACTCTAGCCTGGGCAAAAGAGTGAGACTCTGTCTAAAAAAAAAAAAAGTATATGCATGCAAAAGCACGAAATACTTTTAGTGATATGTACCAAAATATTAATACTGATAGTCATCTTTAGTTAGTGGTTTATGGATGACTGTTATTTTTTAACTTGTGCATTGCTCAGTTTTCTTCAATAAACATAATACTTTGTTAACCAGAAGGGGGAAAAAAAAACTTTCTAAGAGTTTTTGTAAAGGTGATAAAAAGAAAAACAATTCTTAACAACCTCTCCTTGGAAATACCAGGTGGGTCAGTGAAATAAAGTGCAAATGCACTGCTTCTTACTGCAAAGGAGCAGTTAAGAATTCGTAGATCTGTTTCTCTGCTCATTTTTAAGATGTCTCTTGTAGCTTTGGTTCCAATTCTTTGTTTTACTATTTTGGGTAGAGAGCTGATCTGAAAATGGAAATTAAAATCTCTGTATAATCGTAAACAATTTGTGAATGAAGTAGTCACAAGAATGCCTGCCTACATATCTGCTATGCAATCCGAGTGATAAGTTGTGAGGGTATTTTGACTCTAACTGAACTGAAAGCCTAGAGCCATGCATAAATTCTTAGAAGTTTTGGCTTTAAGATAAGATTGAAGGTGATTAGTGAAAAAATACCAAAGTGTACCTTAGCAAGTTTTATTATTTACTGGTTAGTGCAGTTTATATATTTATTTTTTAAAGATAATAAATTGAAAAATGTATCTGAACAAGGTCTTGAACAGAGAGTTTCTTCTAAATTTGAAAAGTTGTTACTTTATAGTTTATAGTATGACACTAAAGTCCCATTGCTAGTATCTCTGTTCAGTTTTCTGACACATAGTCAACTTTTTTAAAATGTTCACTGTAGGCCAAGCAGGTAGCTCACACCTGTAATCCTAGCTCCCTGGGAGGCCGAGGCAGGAGGATAGCTGTAGCTCAGGGGTTCAACACCAGCCTGAGCAACAGTGAGACCCCGTCTCTACCAAAGAAAAAAGAAAAACAAAAAGATAAAAGGGGATGCAAAATTTACACATGTATTTGAATTTTGTTTTAATAGTGAACGTGATGCACTTGAACAGGAAGTAACTGAGATTAGGAGAAAGCATGAAATACTTGAAGCTTCTCATATAACTCAAGCTAAAGAAAGAAGTGAATTATCAAAAGAGGTAAGCCTATAAACAGAATCACTTATTATTTTATTGCCCAGTATTAGTGGGAAAAGCCCAGGGTTGAATTATGAGAGGGAAATTTTTTTTTTTCATGTAGTTGCCCCCCAAAAAGAGACTTTTAGTAGCTCTTTGTGGACAGAAAGTTTCAAGGGAAGAATTAGCCCTTTTTAAAAGAATTTTTATGTGATAAGTGAAAACAACAATGAAAGAAATTAATACAGTCAAACTCAAAAAATAGGATGGCATTACTCTGGATACTTTCTCTACATATACGTAGGTAACCACCTTACAGCAGACTGTTACTTTGCTGCAAAAGGATAAAGAATATCTCAGTCGCCAAAACATGGAGCTTAGTGTTCGCTGTGCCCATGAAGAGGATCGCCTTGAAAGACTTCAGGCTCAACTTGAAGAAACCAAAAAGGCTAGAGAAGAGATGTATGAAAAATATGTAACATCCAGGCAAGACTTACATTATTTTCCATGTAAATATATTAACACCATCTTCTTTGAGGAAACTCTTGGCTTTGGGAAAGATTAGTGATTTTGTTAAGGTCTATAGGACAATATTAAGATAATACTTAATTTTATTTCCCTGTAAGGTATTCTCTTCTGGTTGATTTTTAAGAAAACATTTTTCCAACCACACCAAAAGCCTGTTTTTTTCAGATAGAAAGATATATACCATAACTATTTTTTTCTTGCGACAATATATTTTTAATTCCCTGTCACTAAGATCTCTATGTAAGTATTTTTTGAAAGAAAGTATGTAAGTATCTCTATAGAATTACCTTTTCGAAGAAAATCTGAGTATGCTGACAATTTCCTGACTGCGTGAAATATAAAAGAAGAATGAGGAGGCAATATTGCATACTGCTTTAAGTTACAGGCCTTCGAAACAGACTCCCCACATTTCAATCCTGCCTTCTCTGTTCTGCAGGATGTATATAAGCTACTAAAGTTCCTTTATACTAATAGCTCTTATAATCCTTGAATTATTTATTTTTATCAGCACATCAAAAACCAAAACAAAGTCTAAATTTTACCTTTAACAGTTCACACATTTTTCCCTGTAGTATTTTTTCATATTCTATGTAATTTTGACCTTACTGAAAGATCATGGTGTGGCTATAGTTGGCATGCTTGAAAGGAAAGGTTTTGTAAAGAACTAGTTAAAGTCATTTTATTTTTCTGTATTTGTTATATTATTCATCTCTCAATGTGCACAATGCCAGATTATTAATTTCAAATGAGGGACGTTCATATAGAATGCATCGGTTTTCATATCTCAGCTATATGCATTAAAAGCTAAAGTAAAGTACTTTTGGAGATGAATAATTATCTGACAAGAATCACTAACATTTTATATAGTAATTAAGCTTTTGGGGAAATATGTTTAATAGGTTGAGATCTTAGAAGGCACTGGTTTGAAACAATATTTTTAGGAATTATAAAACTTTATGCTTCATACTTAAGTTTTTCAAGTAACATAGTATTAATATATAATATATACTTATTGTAAAACATTAAAATCTTGTATGGAGGGCAAAAGCATAATGTTTAAAAAAAATTTATGGATATTCTTTTTAACTTCTTGCAGAGACCATTATAAAACAGAATATGAAAATAAACTACATGAGGAACTAGAAAAAATCAGATTGAAAACTAATCAAGAAATTGATCAACTTCGAAGTGCCTCTAGGGAAATGTATGAACGGGAAAACAGGTAAAAAAAAATAAAGTTGCTGTGTGGGATTTTATTTCTCTTTGTTTGGAGGTTATAGTTTTATTGAAATTTAATCCTATTTCTCTCAATTAATGTCTTTGTAAATACATTGAAGAAAACTTGTCATAAATATAATGAGAACATTAAAGTTCTAAAGTCTTTGATAGCTGATTTACAACAGGATTTACCAGACCTAGGCCTTTTTGCTCTGGTATTCCCTTTATCTCATTTTTACCCTGGTAACTTGTCTTTTTGCTTTTACCTCAGTTTTGATTGAGGACAGAAATGAAAAGAAAATTAGAGGATACTAAGAGATACCAGTAGTTCTTCCTGTAATGTGCCAATGATTTCTCCTGGAAACTTTGAAAACTAGAATAGTAATATGAAATATTATATTTGCCTCATTTAGGTGCTGCCCGTAAAAAATGTCACATTAGATAATCCTAAAGAAATATCACTTTTATTCATGTAGTTACTTTTATATCAGTATATATTAGGTTTCCCTATTTAGTAATTG